CTGTATGCATAAGTAAAATATTTTTGATTTACTTAAATTGTATTTTAATTCCAAAGCTAAACTATTGAATGCTAGATGCACCAAAAAAGGCACTTTGTCTATTTTTCTTTTAAGGGAATTAAATGTTTCCAAAGCGGATTGAAATGTTTTTTTGGAGAAGGCGTTATGTCTTGGAGTACTGGTGGATTGTTTGCTATGGTGCTTGTAAAATTCTGCCTCAATTAGCTATCAATCCCTACTATGCTGCGAGGAAAAATTATTTTTTAACATTTTACACCATTTTACCAAAGGTTCCTAGGTAAAAGAACTCGGAACTTAAATCTTTTTAAAACACGAAAATTTACGCCATATTCAAACAAATTTTCTGCAGAATAACATAGCTCGTTCCCAGTAACTTTTTTGCAGATTAAGATAGCTCGCTTATGATATCATGTTTCTATAAATCCAAGATATTATTCTAATCGAAGCTCAAGCGATTAGTGTAGGGAAAAATCTTTTTAAAAAATCTATGGCATAGCTCTATGTTTATGCAAATCATTTTCATATTAACTTTTACATCTGGTAGATATAATGTCTTCAGTAGCTGCAGAGCGTTGTTTTTATTTCGTGCTTTATCCCGTATTAGTCTTAAATCAGCTATTCTACTGGAATTAAAAAGTTCTACAGCATTATTCAGTAACTAAAGATCGAGAACTGGCTCACAACAATCTTTTGAGCACGAAATGCCATGCACTTGACAACCATCGATGGCGATGAAGATCTTCGCATTCATAATATCTCAATCCTACCCTCTGATCAATGTGCAACTGAGGATCAGCGAGTGAGTAGGCTTCAAAGAAGACTGTAAGTATTACGCTAATGATCTGAACTTTCAGGCAGCAAAATGTTGCTGTGGTGACGGGTTTTTCTTCGATTTTCCTAGAAAAAAATGTGAGGTACGCCATTTACAACTTAGAACCCGAATGAAAGGACCTAAATCATGACAGCTAGCAGAAACTCTTTTCTGCGCAAAACATTATGGATGTAACAACAAACTCTTTTTTTAGGTTTCACTTAATGTCGGCTTCATGTTTGGGCGACTAAACAATGGCTGGTCTCATATGATCGTTTATGGATTTGCATATCCAATGCTTTTGCTAACAATGATTGCCCCATTATGTGCTGTAATGTTAGGAATGGGAAAACGTGAGAAGCGTGAGGGTGATAG